CGTCCGCATAATGACTTGGATTTGGCTGTCGAAGCACTCATTTGCGTTTTAAGTGGTTATATTTACACCCATAAAATTTATAAATGCACCTCAATTAATTATTATTTCCTAATATAAATTTTTTTAAAAAATCTATCCATTTATAGATACTTTTTATATGATTCCGAATTTGACCCTTTCATACACCTGCGCCTACCCCCGCCCCACTTTCATTTTAATTTTATCTTATATTATAAAGAAATAATTAACAAATCTTAACACTAATAAAGTTTTTCTCATTCAAAAAAAAAAAAAAAAAAAAAAAAAAAAAAAAAGAAGCAAACACCAAGAAGAAAAACACTTATGTTATACGAGCATTGGATGAAAAGCAAGTTTTGAAACATTTTCTCAACATAAACATTACGACTTTTTTTAGAGGAACATAAATATTACAATTGAAACATCATAGAGTTTCTTTAAAAAAAAATAATTTTAGAAGCTATAGACAGTGTCTCTTACACATTATTATATAAAAAGTCAACCAATATTTCTATTTATGGCTGATATGATTTATTTTAATAGGTTTTGACGTAATTTCATTGTAAAGTAATACTATAATAAATGTAGATTATAATTTGGTGGGTATATTTATGAATACTAGGGGTGCAAATAGAATTTCTCTTCCATTTTCTTCTTTGAACAAAAATCCTTAAAATTTTTGGGCCAAGTTGGCCCAACTGGCTTTCTATCCGAATTAGGTCGTCCTTCATCTTGCTTGAGTCTTGGGAAAATTTGAGTGCGTTTAGAATTCATTCTAAAATGATTTTATTTTTTATATGAAAATAAAAATGAAAATGTTTTCAACCTCAGACAGAAATAATTTTTGAAAATACGTTTGGTAGTTTTATCAATAGATTATTTTCAGTATAAAAAAAATCATTAATGTCTCTATCGCTGTTCGAGTTTCCTACCGATTTTCTTCGTCATCGGCTTCTCAACGTGATGACAACTTGCTGTAGATGCAATTCTGAGGAGAGAGAAAAAAAGGAGGTGGAGAGGACAGAGAATGGGTGCTGGGTTTGTATTGAAAGAGAAGGGAGAAAATAAAATTAGGGTATTTTAGGAATTTTATTTGGGTATAAATCTCAGGGTGTATTTGGTAAGAGGATTCGTACCCTGATTCGAATTATAGTTCATAGTTCGTTACACTATTTTTTTTCACAAAAAATACACGTAAATCAAAAATGGTTCTAATATCATAATTATAATCCATGAACCAAACGTCTCTCAATCCTATTTACTAACTAATTTTAAATCTTGATCTATTAATTTTTATTCTTATCCTACTTTGGTCTATTTTCCTCATTCTTTCTAACTTTAATGACATAAGATAAAATAATGTTATTTTATTGATGACATTATTAAAGGTTCTGTTTATTTTATCAATTTGAGTTTAAAATTCGAGTTTTGTTATAGTAAAAAGTTTTCAGAAGCAGTCACATCTAACTTTTTTTATTACAGTAAAAAATTTTCACATAAAGTTACATCTCAACTCGAATCAGCGAACTAAACGGGCCCAAAAGTTCCCCTAAACTAATTAAGGCACCCCTACTATTGTAAAAAGACAAAACAGACCAATATATTTAAAATTAGTTAAAATACTTGAAAAGCCCCAAATTATAACGAAGAACACGTATTTTTTCACGGACGATGAACATCTCTCAACCCATTCACTATTTCTTAAGCAAAGTAATATTATAAAAACACGTTTCTTTTTCTTAAATGGTAAATGAACGATAAAAATTTGTTTCAAAGGAAATTGGAATATACTAAAAATCGAGTGCAAAAGTACGCTCTCTCTTCTCAATCGTGTTAAATTTTGTTTTGTGAAATTAGCTATGTTTATTACCTGCATATTAGAAATTTTGCTGCAAAAAATTTTGTGCGCCAAACTATGAAGTAGAAAGAAAAGTAGAGAGACAACAACGATTCAAATAATTTAAATGAAATTATTACTACAAAATTAATAAGGATGTTAGATGAAACAAATACATTACTTAAATTATTTAGAACGGTTAGAAATTTTAACAATAATAAAAAACACAATCAATGAAATTAAGATTAATAGACAGATGAGAAGGAGATAGTATACAATATGATCTTCCAACTTCAACAGGTTTAGGAGCTTAATTGTTGGAGATATTGGTGAATATGAAAAAGACAGAGATATAATTATATATAGTTGTTGTGAGGGAAAATATACCTTGCCATGTCAGACAACGACTGACCTCCACGTGACCATCACTTGCCATGTTAGCCAGCAGTCAGCGTTCAAAATTGAGTGGCGTTCCGATGGTGAAAGGATCGACCGTATGAGGTACTTTAGAATAATTCTTGGAGGAACACTCAGCAACAGTAGGCTTGCAGCTATCGTCCCTACACACAGTTGAGACATGTATGAATTGGAATCCTTAGCAGACCAACGATGCCATAGAAGGATCGACCGGGATGAAAGCCTCCGCTTTGACTTGCTGAGATACAATAGAGACGCAGAGGGTGGGACGCTCAGCTTTTGACCCATATCCCAAGAGTAGTCTCTGAGGTGACAATGGAGAAATCCCTAGGTTACTTCTGGGTTTAGGGAAAGTCAATAGCAAAGAAAATGATTACATGTCTATAAACCACCTAAAACGGACCAATGAAAATCACAGAAGATCCACAGCGCCGCAATAGTGGACAAATTAGGTGAATAAACAGTCAAAAAGGTACTAAAAGGCTACAGTCTAGGCGGGTAGGATAATAGGCTACTCAAGAGAAACCGCCAGAGAACCCCCTGTCTCAGTCCTCCCAATATGTAATCTGTGAGATATAAAAGGGACAATGTCCTAGGGGGACAGGGGGAGGTAAGATTGAGAGAGCAAAGCCCTTGTAATCAAAGAAGAGAGAAAATAGTAAAAAACTTCTTCGAAGTGGACGTAACTCTTTCTTTGAGAGTGAACCACTATAATTTCTGGTGTTATTCTTTTTTATTTGCACTTGCTTACCTATTCACACACAACCAGTTGCACTTTCCTGATATTACAACCAGTTTTAGCCGGTAGCCTGACTGACTACTAGGCGGTAATCTTGTTGACGAAATTTCACCGTCAACAATAGTCAAACTGTAGAATTACAAAGAATTAATAAACTCCATCCATCTTATATGGAATTACAATATCCACTATTATTTCCTTATGGTAAAGATGGATATAGAATTGATACAGGATGGAATCCATTTACAGGAAGAAACCCATGTAAAACCGAATTTCAATGAGATCGTTTTATGCTTTTCAATTACAACAACATTTACATGAAGGAAATACATTATTTAAAAGTGGAAGACCCTTCCAACAATACTACAGATGCCTATGCTGTTGTTGAAGAAGATCAATTAGACTGTGTTAGACAAAATCAAAATAATTTAAGATCTGAAATCTATAAAGGTATTCGGGATGCTATAACTAGAGGTGATACTGACCCATAGGCAATTGGGCAAAGAATTGTTTTACCATCATCTCATACTGAAAGTCTAAGATATATGATTCAAAATTATCAAGATGCAATGGCAATATGTAGATATTATGAAAATTCTGATATATTTTTTACATTTACATGCAATCCTAAATGGCTAGAAATTGTAAGAGCTATAACTTTAATTCCAAGACAAAAATCTAATAATAGACCATATATCATAAGCAAAGTTTTCAAGATAAAATTAGATCATTTAATGAATACAATAAAATCAGGAAATATTTTTAGACCCATAATAGCAGGTACACTATTCTATTATGTCACTTCAATACAACCTGAGTCTACTTCTTCCATTAGCTCTTAAAAAAAATCAATCAGATAATACTAATCTTTATATATTAAAACAATTATTTCATTAAAAATAAAAAAAATTATTACCATCAATTATAATATATTAACAACTAATATTGGTTTTTTGTCTTTCTTCAAACAAAATATATATATGTAAATATATAGATATATATAAATATGTAAATAAATATGTATATATATGTAATAAATTTACCACAGCTTGGAAATTGAACTTTAATCGTATACCATCGTTTGTGTTAACTTTTAATTATCATTTTCATACTCTATTTTTGTAAAATATTTAACAATATAATCATCATTTTGTAACTAAATATTATATTGTTTACTCTAATTTTATAATAGCACGGGTAACCCACTAGTTATAATTATAATCCAGTATGTTCTAAGCCAACACGTTTTTGCTTCATGAGAAGCTTCACAGCCCAAAGGGAGAAAAAAAGGGAACAAATAAAAAAGAATTAAATAAGATATCATTCTTTGACTGCATAACATTGTTCAGTTTACAAGTTAAGTAGTGAATGTAGAGAGTTAACGATGCTAAAATGAAAAATTTTCCACAACCACCTTGAATCTTTGGCAGGCTGGCACTAATAAAATAGTAAGTAGATTTACATCTTCTTTTATATAAAAACTAAATGGAATCAAATCAATTCTACTGAAGACTAATGTCAACCACATAACACTTTCAGGAAAGACCTTTACTCATGTTTTAGTATTAGAAGCTTATGCCCATTACTTTCCACCACCATTTTTCTTTCCCTAAAATGGATCATCAGCTCAAAGTTGATACCTTATCTTGAAATAGATTAAGTGGGCCTTTTTTTATTTCCCTCATTAGTTGGTCTAATTAAAATCTAATGATGGTACATTCCTCCCCCCACCAAATTCAAACTCAAGTTTTGACTCTAAAAAGTGTATTTAGCACGTTCTCATCCATCTCTTAGCATCTATAATCTGATATTCATATAGCTTTATTTCTGTTATTTTAGTACCTTTTAATATGTACCTGCTATTACAAGGACATTTTTACCCAGAAAGCTATGTGATATAAGTTGCACGAATATATTATAAATTGATCAAATGTAATGCAATAGAGCTTGAGTTTAAAATAAAAAAATAAAAAAATAAAAAATTTAAAAAAAAAAGAAAGAAAGAAGGTGCATTTAGCGGTTGTTTATCTCAAAAAGTTTAAGTTTACATCATTCTAACAAAACTGTATCCACAAATGTGGATAATAATTAGAGTTGAAAATGAAAGCATGAAACTTCTTTGGAATTGCTCAAGAATCTAAATCGGAATCAGAACCAGAATCTGACTCGGCACATAATTCATATGGTCTGATTCTGTTTGTATTGGCTTCGAGTGGAGGAAGTCCATCGTTGTCACTTGATTCATCTTCTTGTTGGGATGTCTCTCTCTCCATGCTTCCATTAGAATCGTCCAGAACTGTCGATTTGAAGACTTCTGGCCTGCATGGAGAGGTAGAAGCACGACATAAGGAACAATACATTAAGACAAACGAGCATCGAGACAACATAAAGAAGATGAACAGGAGAACGATGTATAATCATTAGCAAAATTAGAGAGAAAATTTAGCAGTAGTAAAAGAAAAAAAAGAAAGAAAAGAAAAGAAAAGAAAGAAAGAAAGAAACACCTATTTTAGAACATGAAGAGAGCTTTAACTAGAAAAAGAAAAAGGCCACTTTACAACCCAGAAGGCAAATATAGCAGAAGCCGCTAAGGTAGAGAAGGTCCCCTACCATTATCTCAAAAAAAAAAAAAAGATGATATGAACCCTTTTGAAAACCTACAATCCAAATGCTGAAGAAAGTACCACAATCTTCAAGTTGATATCAGCCTTAATCCAAATACTGAAGATGATATCAGCCTTATGGATGTCATCCCAAATAGTACATCAATTTGATACTTTGCATTCGAGACCTAACAATGTCAAGTTCATAATATAGATAGCGGGGCTTCAAATAACTAGAACCTATATGCTGTAGTTCTTTTAAAGACGAAGATGCTGAGGTGAGGTAGGCTTGGCTTGGTGTCTCTGATCTGATACATTATGACCATTTGCACCACAGACACACAGAGAAAACATACCATTCTGGTGATTTCTGAAGCACGCGGAGTTGTTCGTAGAATAAAACTTTCGAAACAATACATGTCACCTTGCTTCCAGATTCAAGAGCCTTCTCCTTCCCACTATCGTCAACAACAACAAAACTACCTGCAGTTTTAAAATTTCATTTAATTTTGTTCTTTATCACTTTAGAGGATTCAATTGAAAAATGAATCAAGTTTGGAAAACCAAAATTAATCTGAAGATTAGACCCCTCCCTGCCCGAATCGGAATACATTCACTTACAAAGGTATTTAAATAGCAAAATTATACTGCCCTGAAAATTATAATCACACTGTGAAACAGAAGAACGCACCTCGCTTTATCCACATGCTTTTTTGAAACTTAGCTGGAAACAATGCCAATGATTTCTTGCCTTGCGCATCCATTACCTTCAACGTCCACAGACACAACAAGGCCAAGTTTTTAGGGGGGAAAAGCCCCTTCAAGTTTTAGTAAAAAGTAGACTATTAGAAGCTTAAAAAGGAGACTATTAGGAGCTAGGAAAGTACCTCAATGAGATTGGAACCTCTAAGGGACAAAACTTGCATAATGTTGTAACCTTCTTCAAGAGTTAAACTCTCTTCCTCAGTTGCCCTTTTCAAATTCTTCCTTCCTCCTTTCATGGCACTATCCTCCTTTGCTTAAATAAACCCAAGAATTTTCAGAAAATTCAGAACTTAATTTAACATGCCTCCGGTGATGGCTAATAGCGAACTTAATGGCAGCCAAGAGTGCAGTCCCTTCTGTACTTGGAGATCAATTCCAGCAACCTGAGAAGACAAAGATGAAATTCTCCCTTCTGAAGCACGAGCTACATTCATAATAATTGCGAAAAACCACAAAAAACTAAAATGATTTTTTCCCTTTTCTAAATGCTATTTATGCTACCATGGAATTAGTGATTCACCCATACAAATCGGAGTACACAATCCTTGAGGTGGTTTGCATTTACAGTGCAAGTAATTTCACCAAAACATATCTGATCAAATAATTTTCAAGCATCAAAGCTAAAAAGAAAGAAAAGTAGACTAGGAACAATTACAATCCAAAGCAATTGAAGTCGAAGAAATACAATTATTAATTCTTCAAAAAAAAAAGAAAAAAGAAAAAGAATCCACTCAAAACTCAATCTCCTTAGCCTCCAGAGATGATTTTGGGCACCCATTGTAGTCCTTTCACACCCATGGAAGCACAAACGGCTTTGAACTTGAGCCTCAAACCATCCATGATTTCTTGGACATTCTCATTCTCAGGCTCCATAACTGGGTACTTCTCAATCAGCTCCTCCATCTGTTTGATCCACTTCTGGATACGATAAGAGAACCGAGTCGAGTTTGATTCTTACAACCGAGTTCCATACCTCAACACAACCCCTGTAGAAGCCCAACTCCTCGCCGACCTCGAAGCCCAATTTCAGGCCCACTCTCTGATTTCTTCTCTACCCAAGATTAGACCATCTTTGTAGCCCTTATCAAAGTTTCCTTCAAGTGGGTTTCCTCTAAATTCAACGATGAATAAAAGATGTCCTCCATGAAAAGGTATTATGAAAAAACACAGGAAATTCAGATTATTTATCTATGTTTATTGTTTCTTTCTTGTTCACAATAACTGATCGATTCAGAAAGTAGCTGCTTTTATAGTTGTGAGTTGCTATTGTGAATTTTGGATATCAAATGTTGGTTTTTGTTCACTTGAACACCTTCAACACAACCAGCTTGAGTCTCAACATGTTTCAACATGTTTCTCACCCCTGATAATTGGGTGATCTGTTTTCCTATGAAACAAATGATATCAAGAATCATTACAAGACTTGTAGACACAAATAGTAAGCTTAAGCAGTCTTCTGCTTTTACAACAGATATAAGCGGAAAAACAGCACAATAACGATGACAATGATGAAGGAACGTACCAGCTTGATCTGGGCCTTAATTGATGCAATAAGACGAGTATACTCTTCAATTTGCCTGCAAAAAGTAATTGAAGGTATTGAGTTGGACGAACTCATACAAATTTCAATCAAAAAGAAACTCAGACCTTGGATGAGTTCACAAATAAATACAAGACTAAATTTTGTTCTACATTGGATTTTAACCGTTCACCTATCTACAACAGAAACTTCCAACATGATAGCATCCAGCTTCAAAAAATAAAAATAAAAAATTCATACCTGGATAGTTTCTCCTCCCTTTGAGATATGTAATTTATAGCTTCTGACCATGTGAACTCCACATGAAATCCTAGTCCAATATCCACAAATATGCGTTTTGTATCTGGGCTGTGAGCAAGCAAAACATAAAGGACCACAGTTATTAGCAACCTTAGTTTGAATTGGGCGCTCTTTGGGCCAATTTTCATCAAACTATAACATGCCAACATGTGGTGATACCCGAAATTCAAACACGCAATCTTGGATTATTAAACATGCAGAATGAAATACCAGAAAAGAAAGAAATGCTCAAGACTTACACATCAGCTTGCATGTACACTTCAGAGCCAAGATTAACCAGTGTTCTAAGACTGGTAACACTATTCTTCTCCAAGTTCTCTATGTTCCTTCGTAAATCTGAGCTTTGAAGCCATAGAGTCAAGAAAATCATGTATTCTCTTGTAGCAAGGTTTAGATAAAACAAACAAGGAAACAACTTGCATACTTCAGAAGTTGTAAATACAAGAAAAAGTGAAAAAGGATACAAAGTTTTTTGCTGTTCAAAAATTTTGTCCCTGCAAAAGAAGAACCATAAAGGCAATGAAAAAGCGTTGAAGAATATTATCTTTAGTTCTTAGAAACATATTGACAAGAACCATTCAACCATTTTTTGTGTTACAGAACAGCTTAACTAGACATCATATTTCTTGATTCACAATTTTGATGCAACAATAATAACTAAAAGCAAAATATGTAGAGAGCCCAACATAAGGAACTCGAGCTAATGCTTTTATCGCTACTAAAACTTCCATAATTGTCCTAAGAAAGAATTACCTCTTAAAGAAAAGATCAATATAAAATGTGGGATTTTAAGAAAAGCCAATAATTTTATGTGGGACTACGTGAAAAGTCATACCGTTCAGCTATAGCACGAATGAGGTCAGGTTTCAATCAGCGGTCGACGAATTCCTCAAATTTCTGAGAATCTCACTTCCCCAAGGTCGAATTTGACGAAGACGAAGAAGAAGAAGAAGACTTCACGAAGGCCGATCTGACGAAGAAATGAGAAGAACTAGATTTCCTTTCCTTTTAGCCTTTCTGCTCGCCTGCTACAGTAACTGAAGTCGGAACTCTTTGTTAAGCTCTTTTTAGTTAGCTTCAGAGTAAAGTCCCGCTTTGTATAGAAAGATAGAAGTCCGTTCCCTCGCCTTGGAATACGATGAAAGAGGATAGAGTGAGTGGAATATGTTGGCGTAGGCGGTGGTAAACTCCTCTTTCCGGCAGTAGAAGGGAAGCTCTCCAACGCCGGTGGAGCTGAGAAGAAGAAGAAAAGAAGCGGCGGTGGAGCTGTTTCAAACAGAGCCTCTCTGTTGAAGGAGATAGCGGCGGGTGGATGAGAAAATGAGAGAAGGCAATATGCTTCAGAAGAAAAGAATATGGCGTCCGGTAGTGCTGGAATTTTAGATGGGCCGCCCGCGATCGCCCGAAAGTCTGAGAATTTGCCCGAGTCTGAACCCGACCCGCCTGAGATTTTTGGGCCGCCCGCCCGAGCCTGAATTTCACTGCGACCCGAGCCCGCCCGAATTGTCCGAATTTTTTAAACTTTTTTTTAATATTAAGTTATTTATATATATATTACAATTTGAAATGAACACACGAACTCAGGTTTTCGAGCAGAATTCGGGTAAAAATTCAAAAAATAGCCGTTTTTGGGTTTTTGGGTAACTCGGCAACTCGGGTTTTCGGGCAAAATTTAAAAAACTAGTCGTTTTCGGGTATTCGGGCAATTCGGGCACCTCGGGCGGGTCGGGTAATTCAGGCAGGTGGGAAAAATTCGGGCAAAATTCAAAAATTCGGGCTTCTGGTCGGGCAATTCGGGCACACCCAATTTTCGGGCAATTTTCGGGTCGGGCGGTTCGAGCTTGGTCGGAAAAATTCAAAAAAAATCCCGGCGGACGGCAGTATACGGTGGTTATACGGCGGCGGGCAAGGGTGGACATGTCAAATTCGGGCTGTCCGAACCCGAATTTCTTGCTTGGGCGGGCGGGAATTGGGCCGGCCCGCCCGAGCTCGAAAAATTTTGGGCTTCGGGCGGCCCGCCAACCCGAAGTTCTAGCACTAGCGTCTGGTAACGTTTTCAAAATCATTTTGTTTTCGGTATAAAAATAAAAATAAGATTATTTTAAAAATTAAATTAAATTTGATTAGTCTTTTAAAAAATAGTTATGAGCATAATAAAAATGTAAAATCGTGTTTGATTATATATATAAATTTATTTTGAGTACATTTAATTAATAATTTTAACTTAATATATTAAGTAATTAATAATCACTTAACAAATAAAAATAATTACATTAATAATTATAAATAATTAATTAGTGTAAAAAATAATTAATATATAAATATTTTATTTACTAATTAAATAATTAACTTTTAGTCACATTATCAAATAATTAGTTAATTAGTTACTAATATTTATTTAATACTCTATTATTTGATATATTAAATGATCAATTTTTAGTAATTATCATTTAAGTAATTATTAATTGCTTATTATCAATTATTAATTAGTATTGATTATTATATTACATAATTAATAATTATAATTTAATATTAATTATTCATTGAGTAATTATTGTTTTTTATCAACTATTTTTTAATTAATAGATTATAATTGATATATTAATAATTAGTTATTTACTAAATAACCTATTATTAATATATTATATAATCAATTTTTTGGCAATTAATCTTTAATTAAATAATTAATTACTATTTATTATTTATTATTTTTATTAATAAATTACAAATTTAATAATAATAATAAATTAATAATTAAATAATTACTTTCTATTTATTAGTTACTCATTATTTCTATTTATTAGTTACTAATCATATCTATTTATTAATTATTAATTAATATGTTATATAATTAGTAATTAATCATAATTACTTAAGATAATATTATTACTGATAAGCACTAGAAAATAAAAACGGAAAAAGGAAAAAAAAAACCTTAAATCATTTTCTACTTCCTTTACAAAAGTCATTCTCATTGTTTTTTATTTTTGTTTTCGTTTTCATTTTCAAAACATTTGCTAAACAAATGCGGTTTACAGACCGTTTTCGTTTTCATGCCTCAAAAGACATGCAAGAACGTTTTCAAAAACAACCAAAAAGTAGTTCTAAAAGCACCCTATATTATTAAGCATTAAAAAATATATATAGTTGTAAACAGGTAATAAACGGGTTATGATTGTGTTGTGTATTCATGTTATTCAAATATGACACGTTTAATAAACAGGTTATGGCGGGTCAATTGCGGGTTGACGGGTCAATCTGAAAATGACACACTATTTAATCGTGTTTTACAAGTTCGACTTGATTTTGATCCAAACCTATTTATAATAAATCTAAACCCACTAATTTCATGCGGATTTTAAGTCGTATCGTCGTGTCGCTATTTAGATTGCCAGCCTTAACTTGAGAG